TATTCCCAATCGGGTTCTTAGAATGCACATTATCGTATCTCCAGAAGTCGACCGGGCCCTCAAACCGCACAGCAAAAAAACAAAAAAAACCCACTTTCCTTCTCCTACGAGTACGACATTCGTCCCTACCCAAGTATGATCCATGCAGCCACACAATGTGCATTCCGGAGCAAAATCTTTCCCTCGTGCAGTCCAAGTGCAGTGTGCCGGCACTCGTCGGTGCAAGCAAGGCGGCAGCTCTTCGACCCGGACGGAACGGACGCATAGCGGGGTGACCAATCGGTAGCCGACGATTTACCTAAATCATTTGACTGGTCCGAGCACAAGTGGGGCATTCTATCTTGCATGGACCCTCAGATGGTCACTGTATTTTTTTGTTGTTTTTCCTTTTTTTTTTCCTCCATGACCCCTGGGTTCGGGTGCTTCGAGTGGATACCGGTATGAGGGATACCGTACGGTACGAGTACTTATGCTTTGACTGTACGAGTACTGCATGTACCGGCAAACACGATAGACCACCCGCATTCTCCGCAGCATAAGCACAGGATGTTACCCGCCCGTGACATCCTGTGCCAATGCGGTGGTCGACGCAAACCATGCCCAGAGTAACTTAATGTATGGAGTACGGTCTGATGGTGATGGAAAGACGTGGTCGCTCGCGCACAGGATCCAAGGAGAGGAGAGAAGATTTTCGATCCTCAGACAAACAGCTAACTACAGACCCATATATACACCGGTAGACAACACCTCTGCTGGGGTAGTGCCCCATACAAACACCACATCTGGGGCATAACCCCATACAGATAACACACTCCATGACAGTCACTCAGCTGCCTACACATCTACATGCTCTTGCATGTCCACCTTTCTCCCAGAGCAGGGTTATACCACCATCACGGTCTACGAGTAGTATGATAGTCGTATCATACCGGTAGTCGGGAAAGCTACGAGGGGAATTTTCTGTTCTGCACCGTACTGCCGGCAGTAGTAAACCGTGTCAGCCCTCAGCGAGGCGCGGCACGGCACGGCTTGGCTTTCCACTGTTGTTGACCGCAGGTTGCCTTTGTTGCACCTTCACACGGTATACAAGTAGTGCATGCTTTTGCTATGGTATTACAGTATTCCTTAATCTGAAAAAAAAAAAAAAAAAGAGAGAAAGAGAAAGATCTCTCTCTGCCCTCTAATTTCTCGAATTTCCCTCTCTTTTTCCCCTCCCCCCACCCCCTCGAGTGCAATTTCCCACAACCTACCCTTCCCTCGCGCGAACTTTTACCTCTCTCAGTTGCGGGGGCATATCTGAACCCCTACCGTGGCGTTGAGTTTTTTTGGTTTTTTTTTGAAACTGTCGAAATTCTTTTTCTTTCCCACAATGATGGGGAGATGGCAAACTGACTGTCCCCGAGAAAAGGATCATTGTTCTCGCTGGCGTGGGAATACTTGCGCTGCTGTTGCGCAATCTCCCTTGTCATACAATACTCGAGTATATTTGTGGACTTCTTGGGTGGGTGGGGACTGATGTGGGCTCCGTGGTTTCGTAATGGCACAGTACCAGTACCGGTATTCGGTCCACCATAGTACATGTACAGTGCTATGATCACACTCTCTACTACTCCAATTACCCCCGTTTAAGAGTTTAAACTACCGTATAAACTAATCGTGCACCGCTGCTGCTAACTTACCAACAATGCCCCAATTACAAGCCCATCAACTCTACTCAAGTAGTCTAGCCATTCCCGCCGGACCACACCGTTCTGCAGGCTTGGATGGCGACCACCGCTGGTATGTCAGGTTGCGTTGTGATATCAGTGTGCCGTCAGGAACCACAATCCAGTATAATACCATGTTCGGAAAATCTTTCAAACCCTCGCACTCACCATCAATCAAACCCCGATTGACATCATTGAACCGTCTTAAAGAGGGATTCCATCATGCTTCCTTCCCACATATTACCCTCCATTAGGTGGTGACAACCGCCGCGCGGTACTAGGTAGATGGTCGGGATAGCTGGATAGAGAGCATTCACCTCAGACCTAACGAGGTGGTGCCTCTCAATATCAAAGGTTGGTCCACCGTAGCACCAATTCATCCTCGTTGAGCCGTGGGGTGAGGGAGCACGATTTGCATGGTGTCATGGTCCCTCTGCACCCCCGGTCAAGGTCTTGCATTAGAGTAGACGACGGGGCTCCATTTGGCTTCTTCAGGTGAGTTACTCGAGTATCATACGGGTAGAGTTTGTGGAGACGCCGGGGGAGTGGGGGGGGGATCCGTCAGACCTATGGCTAAAAGGTAGGATCTACAAGCAACGTTGGTATGGTACTGTATATTACCTCGGATTGTTCTTCAACGTTGGCATCACACTTCCGAAAAAAAGTGTCTCCCAAAATGAGTGGTCGATTGCGATAGAGGAGTGTCCATTTGGGGAGTATCCTGTTTATATATACGGTCGCACTCCAAGTAACCAGTTTCCCCTGCATAGAACTGTATATATTTTAGCCCCCGAGCATGATCTCAAAATATAAACTTCAAGTCACCGATATTGCATCCTTTCAGCATCCTAAGTCTATCAGCGTAGGGAATTGGACTTCGCGCTTTTTCATCTAGAGCCGTGGATGGCATACTAGAACCAACACACCGACCATGGCAGAAACCAGGAGGGGGAAACTGAAGAAAATTCGGAATTCAGTGCTATATCCGTCTAAGTATTTGGGCGTCGAAGTATGATATGATATTCTAAATATTTCCCCCATCAGACAACACTCATTACTGTCAGAATTTGTGCAATACCTCCTACAAGCATTGTACATCTCTAACAACCCCAAATACGGACGTGGGGGGGGGGGGGGGGGGCAACCCTCCTCGAGGCCAGGGGACGGCAATAGTAGAGCTCGCTAGCCATTTTCAATGTAGTGTAGTGGAGTGCGACTTGTACCAAGGGAACATTCCTGCCCTCACTCTCCCAATATCGATCCTTGTACTAAAGTTACATTCGACGAGGCAATGGAAACCTTCTCTAACCCTCGTCAACTCGCGATAGCACAGGACAGGATCTGGACGATCTTAGTGAAGGCAGCATCACCGTGGATTCGCCGGTCTTTGGCGGTCAACACACTGTTTCTAACATATATTTTCTTTTTATAAAAAGAGAGATGTTGGTAGCTGTGCTTTTGGAGCATTGATGCATTGATGCAGGGTACCAAGAAGAGCTACTGTAGGGCTAGTAGCTCCTTTCTGAGAATGAGCCAAGCTTTATGAGGACAAGGTTTGCATCGTTGGGAAAAGTACGAGCATTCTGAGGGATAGTCAGTGCTCTCAACGCTCTTGGGACCCTTGTGACCACCCCGCGAGAGACAGCCAGTCGAACAGGGTCGAACAGGGACCACCGGTTACACTCAGTAAGATATGGACCCCCCGAAATCAGGAAGACTGCAGCCTTCGGCAATGGGAACAGACCCGAAAAAAAGAGAGTCGGACTTCATCCCCAAGTCATGTTGGCTCACTTTCAGTGGCCAGGAAAGTGAACTTCAATTTTCTCACCGCCTTGTATGGAATTATGGGCGCCTTCGGAGGGTTACGGTGGACCCTCAGGCCGGTAGGGGCTCAGAAGCTAGCCAGTATGAATAATTAGAGGCGATGAGTGGCAAGCTATTAACGTGTATCTTGCCTGAAAAGCTGGATACCTTGTACGAGGAGGAAAGGGTTTGGAATCCTTGATTCGTCCTTTTTCATATTTCTCGATTCAAGATCTGCATGAGTGCTGCTCTAGCTCAAGTTGAATCGGGGGTGTATAGTCTTCCTTTCCACATGATTAGAACCTCCTTAACTCATATTTTTAACCACCTGGTATCATAAAATATCACTCGTCCTCACACATCTGGGCACACTGTTGTAAATCAAGGTAAAAGACAAAAGTATAGGGGAACAAATGGCAGATGTGACTTCCTTGCTTTCTGGGAGGGGTAAATAGATCCCTTGAATTCGTGTAAACTTCTGCGGAGGCTATCCCACGACATAGGACATATCTTCAATTCAACTAGCGGCAGGATTGCTGACAATAATAGAGCCGTCCTCTCTCCTCTCGTTGGCTCATCAACATGTCCGGGGATCCACCCACTCTGGGCAGGGATGAACTACGAATCAAAGTCTATCCTCGCCTCCCCCCCTCACACAGGATGGATCGACCGGCCATTGAGAAAAGCTGGAGATGGTTATTGCAGAGCCTCCATAGTTACCACGGACCCCTGAGTACTGGATTGAAGCAGGCCGATCGTTCAAAAGACTGGCCTGCATGAGGATACCAAGGGAAATACTATCCCCATCGCACAACGTCCATGGCCCAACGACCTCCAGTGCCCCCGCCCCCCTCCCGGGACAACATCTCTAACCTCCCTTGTCAAACATATCTTGCAGATACCAATCTTCGCGAAAGACCCAGGCCGGCTAGCAAAAGAAAAGAGTAGGGTCATATTTCAACCCAATAATTAGCGGTAGCTGAACCTTGCAAGATATAGTAGTGCCACCTGTCAGCACCCTCGAGAAATACCTTATTATGGCAACACACCTACGGATGATATCTCCTTCTACGGTAGGCACAGAACCTCCGCCATTTATTATAGAGCTAAAAAAAAGAAGAAAAAAAGACTCGATCTAGTGGCGATGCCTAGAGGTATTGCACATCACTATTCACCAAGGGGAAAAAAAAACTCCACTCCTAGAAGCTCCAACGCGGGGATGTGGAATAGAGGTATACACAAGCATGTTATATAACCTCGCGGGCAGCACCCTACCCCCACTCGTGCTCGTTCAATCGCAATTGAGAGCAGCCAACTGGGCCGTTTGAAGCATCTATGGAACTAGAGAGGACGGGTTGAATACTTCGCGCACAAGCCGATCTAGGTTATCACAAACTTTCCACTTATCCCACTCCTATCACTGTGGAGTCACCCGAGTGATAGCCCGTGAAACACCTAGTTTGTTCTTCCCCAGAGGGATCGGGATCCCACTCAATGCCGGAATCTTGTTAGGGTTAGTTTTATAGCTTCCTCCTCCTCTTCCTCTTCCTCTTCTTCCTCCTCTTCCTCCTCCTCGCTATCCCCGCCACCGCCGCCCACAGTCAGTGTTCCACTACGTGACGCCTTCAGTCTCCTTGAATTTTTCCCACCACCTGTGCCATCATTCTCGTCAGGATTCTCTCCAAGATTAGGCCAAATGAATCCCAGGTACGCAATCGAGTCGTTCTCTTTAGCTTGTTCAATACTTGTATTGCATCCTCTAGGCACTCTCGTTGTGTGCACTCGTAGAAGCTAATGCCAACCGAGTTATCGAGTTCGACCCCTAACACGTCATTCAGCGCTGAGGATGCATATAAGATGGATGAGGTTTTTGTGAATCGATTCAGAATCAATGCAGCACGTAGTTCATGTGCCCCGGGTGGTGGTGCCTTAAATTTCTCAGAGAGATGCGTCAGCATGTGGAATCTGGGATCCGCAGGTGAAGAAGAGAAGGCCCTTCGAATCGCAGGCACAGCGAGAACACGACCTATCATACAAGAAAAAAAAGGAGTTAAAACCAATCACTAAATATCACCGTCCCAATGCATAATGATACGACCAAGATCATGGTGTGGCAATCGGTGGGGACAAACCCTGGCTTCTCAAAGTCGGCCAGTACAAACTAGTCGACGCTACAATAACCGAGTGCACTACTGTGAAGACGCACTCGCAGGTGACATAATTCCCATCGGAGGTCTTCAACCTGCAATAGGACAGCACAGCGGCCTTATCCAACTCCACTCCCTTCCCATGGACCGATTGAGCGAATGGCCTCTCGTCGGGATGGGAATACTCGAAGCATGGCCTCTCAACAATCCCTCGACAATCGTACCCCAGAACTTATGTGACTGGATGGGATGCGTAAATCAACCTCGCCTCTTGTAAAAATTCATCACTAGTTAGCAAACATTACACCCAATGCTAACCTTTCGACCTTTAAAAGAGATCCCGTTAAAGATCCATGTTATAAGGGACAGGTGCGTATTACCAGGCGATGGATCGTGCTTAGTAATAAAATTTATATCATCCATTACGGAAGGAAGGTTTTGGTTGGCCGTAAGGAGGTAGCAAAGGACAGAATATTGGGGATACGGGTACGATGGGAGACAAGAAAGGCAGAAATTATTAAACAGCATTACAAGAGCACGTCAAATCCGACATATATATATATATATGTAGGAGATGGTTGGTTCGTAGACCCTTCAAACGAGGATGGTAGTTCCAAAGAAGGAAAGGAAGGGGGAGCCCCGTTTCCGGTAGCTTGGGGATCAGCTGCTGCTGCTGCAGGCAAATGTGGGGGAGGGGCAGGCTGTACGCAGGTTATTTCGGTCAATTCTGTGGGTACAGTAGCAGCCTCCGCCAGGAAAGCAAAGACATGCCAAGAGAGAGAAATCAGGATGCCGAAGAATGGCGAGGTCGAACCCACAGTTTGCTCCCCCGCACGAAAGGGGGCCCGTGACACCGTGTTTGGGGCAATTGGGAACGCACGAATAACAGCGGAGAGATGGGAATTCCAAACAAGAGAAACTGAGTGCGGAGAAACAAACCAAGCTACTACACAATCACTGGGAGAGAGAAACAGAGCGAGGGAAACAAAGTGACGTAGAAACAAGCATGTTGAGAGTCTTGAGACTAATGGGAAGCGGAATAATCCGCAGCCTATCAGGGGATGCCTTTGAGTCTCAAACAACGTTCTGTGATTCCGAACCTCAAAGGGTGCAGAGCGGAAGGCGGCTGCGGCGAAGGGGGGGCAGTCGACCCTTTCCGTGTATCACAAAAAAAAAAGTGAAGGGAGGGTTACTTGTGATGATGGCGGCGGGGATAGCAAACGATGGAGCGGAGTGGAGTTTGTTGAGCTGTGGTATCATAATAATATTATTATGGCGCAAAAAAATGGATGCTCGAGGTACCAAATTGCTGACTACTGGATCCAGTACGCTGGTCCAAGTTCAGCAAAGATATGTCCAACTCTGCGCGGTGAGAGCCATCTCTGGACGACCAACCCGTGATCGCCTTACTGTATTCTATGAATTTGGTTTTCCCCGGAGCTTCAATAAGTGTCTACAAGTTATTAGAGTCGATACCCCTCACACTCAGACCTTTCCTTTCCCCACCCGGACCCTTCAATCCCGTTCCTCCGCCCCAACCGCTATGCCATCATGGAAGCAGGAGCAACCGCAACATTAACAAACAGAATGCGTCCAGTGGTGCTGCGAACGATGTCATGACTGACGGAGACAGGGACAGAGGGAAGCAAACCCCAAGACCAAGCCTGGCCATCATCCCTTAATCAGTGCCAGGTTTCTATCTATGAGACAGGCAGTGGAAGTGGAGGTATGATACCGTAGTATGATATCGTTATTATTATTTTTGGTCTTTTCTCATCTTGATAACAGAATTTGTCTGTCTCAGATGCGATTGGAGATGCCGGTGCGGGTATGTGTGTTTCCAACATACTCTAACAAACTTGCAGTGGAACGGCCAAAGGAAAGGAAGCCAAGGCAATCGAGATGTAAGAAACGAGCTGAAACCTTTGCCTATCCCGCGGGGCATAGTACTGTCTCCCCGTAAATACCCAGATGCATAGGGCAGTTCTCCCAAGAGACTCCCACAGTTCAAGTACAGTAATGTGAAGCAGTGGTTCAGCCCATGTCTAGAAATGTGATTATCCTCAGCTCCACCTCTCTAATTATAATCGCCCGCTCTGAAGAAAATCTCATGGTAGGGTAGTGCACTCGCTTCATTGGCCAATAGCCTGCTTGCATCACCAACCCTTCCACGGGATTTGTTAGAATTTTGGCACTGTATTGTACTCGGGTACAGTACACACATTTTTCGCCGCTCACTCGGAGCGGGAGGATTGGAGAAACGATGCACCGACTTCTATCAAAACGAGTGCTTTACAGAAGGATAAGATGGGCACCCAAAAATGCAGATGATGCCGGGATACTGGGAACCGGACACGAATTGTTTATCGAAAGTGGGTCCGATATCAGGGACACCTTGTTCCTCCTAGAGAGCAGCGCCGCAGAAGCCCAAAGACCAACCGCAGCACACCTAACCAGTTGCTTGTTTGCAAAGGTCTCGCGTGCCATCTCTTGTCTAGTTACATGAAAATAGTAGACGAAGGCATCGCCAAGAGATAAATATCAGATCCTTTCCTTTCAGGGTCTCATCCACCGCACACAACCGCTTATGCAACCAATTTATAGGGGAACGCAGCAATTTTTCAATCTTCCCCAATTGGAGTTTCGTCGCAGGAATATGGTGGGCTCCCAATCTCCACATCAGAGCCAAGAATCAGGCTCCATAATTAGGACAAAACAAGAATAGTATTGCTATCCTCCCCAGCGATTCTGCTCGGTGATCATCCAATATCGGAAAACTTTTTCTGCTGCTCCCACAAATCTCGATGGGGTCAAGGGTTACGGACGCGCCTGTGATATGATCACGAGGCTTTCATAAGCACCGTGAGAAACACTGACCGTCGCGCATTAAGTTAAGGGTTCAATCTTTAGAGCCGCTTTGGTGTCCATACACCCCACCAGATAGAGATACCGGTATCATAAGATAGGTTATGGGGAGTATCATAGACGGCTTTTAGGAAAGCCTTTGGTCTGACTATCTGCAGATTCCCCCTATGGAAGTCCGCATTCTCCCACTAGAATCACCACATATCACTCGCATCTTGACAGAATTCCGGCACACACTTGTCTTTCGTAGCAACCAAAGACCTTCAAGGTGCGAGCGAATTATTCGGCTACCAAGCACATCTGGGTACGGTGCGTTCCGGCGTCGCGAGACTTTCGAGTCGCAAGAGCGGAGGCACCGGCTACCCTCTCGGCTGTAAGCATCCGTCGCTCCTCTCAGCCCTCATACACAACCACCACACCAACTCGAGATCAAGAACGACAAAAGACTATCATACTGGCAGGCTTCTTTCTCTTCTGAGGGCAAATCAGGCTAGGTCTTGTCTCGGTACAAGCACACTCCCGCTTTCCATGCTGCCACCCTCGCAACGCCGTAACAGGCTGCGCTTCGTTGAAGAAACTGCGTAACAAAAGACCTTGGACCTCTCATGGCCGCTTAGAGACGAGCCTAAAGATTCGCAATTCTAACGATATTTCTGTCTTTCCCAATCACCACTCTCAGCTGTTTGCCCTTCGCCCCAAAAGAACCTCGTCGCAAGTTATCGATGTAAAGCTCATACGCAGGCATGTCTAGTGGCAAGTGTTAACAAAAGTAGGATGAGCTAGGGGAGGGCACCGCACAGCCGTTCACAAACTCAATTACCTGATCGTCTGTCATTCCGGAACCGCGAGCCGAAATCAGGTCATGTTCTTGTTGGGTACGCCAGTCGTAAACACAAGATATATCTTCGGCATCACTTTTGCTCACCTGTAATTAATACTCTACAAAGGTCCCAAGTCCGCATCAAGTGGAAAGAACTCACATATGAATCAGAGCATTCAGCGAGCTAAACCCACCATCAGTATACTCCATGTCAGAGACTGCCTATTGTCCGCATGAATTGAGGGGCTTTACTCAGTTATCGTGTCATAATCCTTTAACTTGGTGTTGACAAACAAAAGGTGCTCAAGCGAATGTCTCCCCAGGGTTCCTCTCCCTGACGTCCTGCCCTTATTCCACGCTTCCTCCACAACGCCATCTGGGAGAGGCCGGAAGCCTACACACCAGCCTTCAAATATGACCAGGTCGTAGGGGCCATCGACCGCTTCCCAGGAGGCCTCATCAGCCCTATCACCTTGCCCCTCGAAGGCAGACTTATCATAGGAGGGAACCTTGGTCCCCCGCTGATCATGAAGGGAGCGAAAAACGTTCTTGGCCAATTCTATGTCATGAGTCCCGGGCTCGCCTCGATGCCGAACCAGCTTATTATCGGGATAGAGCTCGCGCAGTGCAACTTGGTCGGCATTTGTGAGATAAATATCGTCAGCGGAGAAAACAACTACGTTTAATGAATGCGGGTAGGTCCGGAGAGCAGCGGCAAGGGCAGTCACGAGGGTGGATTTTCCAGACCCCTGCGGGCCCGAAATACCGAGGAAGAAGGGCGGGGAAGAGGCGGTCGGATCGGCAGGAGCATGCGCATGAGCATGGAGGAGAGGAAGGAGGAAAGCAGTCAATATAGGGGTTTTATCCCTGATGACCGCGGAAGAAGACATGGATAGAGGAGAAAAATTGATGAGACTCGGGTTAAGGATTGTATCGAGATTATATTATGGTGTAAAGATGTTTGGAGATTTCGATAAACATTCGCCCTGAGGAGGAAACGAGCCCCCATTTCCCCCCTTTCTTGCATGTGACACTGGTCAGCCAGCAAGCACCCTCCTGACACGGTGCACGCAGGGGCCGGAGCGGTCCTATCATATTTGACAGGGAGAGAAGAATAAGGCGAGAAGAGGTGCATGACGTCCCACCGGAGGGACCCAACCAGAGGATTTACTCGTAGGGGTACCTCTAACGCCTAGGTGTCCGAATACCTTACACACGACCAAGTATGATAGGGAAGGACGGAATGAGAGAAAAGTGAAACGCCTCCGTCGATGCAAGCAACATCTGAGGCAGGGCACGAGAATAAAGGCAAACATTGGTTAGCTGTGGCACACAGATAGAAAGCAGGTATCCGGAGAGAGCCTGCTAGAAGGACCAACATTTACGATAGAGCATTAAGTGGGTGCTTTGGTCCAGTTCTTAGATTCGGTATGTTGTGGGATGCCGGGTGCCAGTGCTGCTACCGTACTCCTCCTACACCTCACCTCTATTGTCCCAAGTACCGTACCGTATGGCAGTCTTCCACAGCAGGCTCCCAGCTGCTTTTGAGACCGCTTGTCAATTTTACATGGGCAAGTGACTAAAATGAGGCTCAAAGCTCTATTCCTATTTTCCTTGGCCCCTGAACCAACCAACTACTCGAGTATGATACTGTACAGGTACCCGTATGATACGGTAACCCATCACTCGCAAACCCATCTCTACTCGAGTACTGCTGTACCCCCTTGCCCGAAGGCTGCTTCTCCACCCCTCCCCTCCCCTCCCTCATAAGGAGTACAAGTATACTCGTACCCGAACCCCTACCGGTAGTGGAGTCGGCAAGGGTGATCAGCCCGCTGCTGGATCACTCCACAGGCAAGATACGATATCACACCGTAAAAATCCTTAGAACTCGCCATCTCTGTAGGAACCGGATATCCCTGCAGATCACGGTGCCAGCTCAGGGAGGCAGTCTACCGGTATGATAGCGGGTTCAAAGGATTTTGGCGGTATGGTGGGGGACTTCTGTAGCCGGAGTAATTTGCCAATAAATTATTGCTCAATTTCGAGCCGCAAAGGCGTTTCAACAACCGCTCTGGTGAGAATTATAGCTCTATTAGATGATACAGTAGGAGGTCCTCTACACATTAATAGAGAGAAAATGGAAATACCACATGTTTTCATGGAGTTATAAGGGTTTAAAACTAGGTGAACTTTTGGGGAATGTCCGGAACATGTTAATCTCTGTTAATTTCCTTGGCACAGCCAGTTAATGCATGTTTGCCAAGAGAATAACCTCTTTTAAGTCTACTGCTTGGCATATTAACTTACTATTACTAAGCTCTGATGAATGTCCGCCCGCTCCGGCTACAGACGTCCCCCACCATATCAGGCCGTGCTCGAGCATTTGGGTCTCAGGAATCCCGGTAAACTCTTGGTTGTGGCTCGCGTTGCTTGTGGCGCCCAGTGGGGGAGGGGGAGAGAGCAACAGCCTCGGCTCTTTCCTAGCTGCCGGGAAGATGTAGTGACCGTTGCTTTCCCCGAAAGCCCATGCACGACTCGTGATCTGGCTGCCCCAGACTCTCCCCAATATCCGAGCTTAAGCCGAACCCTAATCCTGCCAGCTTCCTTCTTTTCACATGTAAAGCCAAACTCTTCCTTTCCACCCCGGCCCATCACCCTCAGAGATTGTCCTCCTCTTCTTCCATACGGTATTCGTCTGCCTCTGTTGTTCCGCTGTTTTGCTTCTATACTCTTCCCCTTGCACCTTCGTGATCCTCGCAAACATTACACAGCAAAACAAACAAACAAACAACATGAACGTCAACTCCTCGGCAGAGAACCTGCGCTTCGACGGAAAGGTCGTCGTTGTGACCGGGGCCGGAGGGGGGCTTGGAAGGGCATATGCACTCTTCTTTGGCTCTCGAGGTGCAAATGTTGTTGTGAATGACCTGGGTGGGTCATTCAAAGGAGAGGGTAACTCGACAAAAGTACCAAAAATCTCTGAGCTACCTTTCACTCGGGCACTGGGATGCTAACTGTGCGCCCCTTCTCCACTCCTAGGCGGCAGATGTCGTTGTCGATGAGATTGAGAAGGCTGGTGGGAAAGCCGTTGCCAACTACGATTCTGTAGAATTCGGAGACAAGATTATCGAAACTGCCGTTAAGACGTTCGGAACTGTCCATATCCTGATCAATAATGCCGGAATTCTCAGAGATATCGCTTTCCGAAACATGAAGGACGACGATTGGAATCTCATCATGAAGGTTCATGTGAAGGGGTCATACAAGGTATTTCCACCCCGTTCGCCGCACCCGGTGCACTTCCTGGTCACCATGCTTATTATTTCCCATCTAGTGCGCGAGAGCAGCATGGCCGATTTTCAGAAAACAAAGGTATGGTAGAATAATTAATACCGCTTCGGCTGCCGGTCTGTTCGGAAGCTTTGGTCAAACAAATTATGCTGGTAAGAACCGCTGTTCTGATACTCTTCGCGAAATTCTCGGATCGATATGCTAACCCCACTCCCCGATAGCTGCCAAACTTGCCATGGTCGGTTTCTCAGAAACTCTTGCGAAGGAAGGGGCAAAATATAACATTTTGTGTAATGCCATTGCCCCGATTGCCGCCTCGAGAATGACGGAAACAGTTATGCCTCCAGAACTGCTTGAGACACTGAAGCCTGAATGGGTTGTGCCCTTGGTTGCCGTCCTTGTTCATGGGTCGAATGAGGAGGAGAGTGGGGGTATCTTTGAAGTCGGTGGCGGCCATATTGCCAAGTTACGGTGGGAGAGATCAAAGGGTGCTTTGTTGAAGACAGATAGCTCTCTGACTCCCAGCGCGCTTCTGAAGAAATGGGGCGATATAAATGATTTCTCAAGCTGCGAGTACCCCAACGGCCCAGCAAATTTCATGGAGTTATTGGAACTGGCTCGCGGGCTCGGAACCAATGAGCAGGGCGAAGGGGTTAGCTTCAAGGACAAGGTAGTCGTCGTCACAGGCGCCGGTGCTGGGTAAGTCGTGTCATGCAAGCGCCTTCTGTTCTACGTTTATCCTCTAACCCTCAGTTTAGTCTTGGCCGAGCATACGCTCTACTATTTGCTCAGTTGGGAGCATCTGTGGTTGTCAACGATGTAATGAATCCTGGGCCAACCGTCGACGAGATCCGAAAGGCTGGTGGAAAGGCCGCGGGCTCAAAGCACTCGGTTGAGGACGGGGAAGCTGTCATCGAAACTGCCGTTAAGGCTTTTGGCACTGTCCATGTTGTCATCAACAACGCTGGTATCCTTCGCGATAAATCATTCGCTGCCATGACCGATGAGCAGTGGGATCAAGTGATGGCCGTCCATCTTAACGGAACCTACAAAGTCACCAAAGCTGCATGGCCGATATTCCTTAAGCAGAAGTACGGACGTATCATTAACACTACCTCTTCCAGCGGGATCTACGGTAACTTCGGCCAGGCAAATTATTCTGCTGCCAAACTCGCCATTCTTGGTTTCTCCAGGGCATTGGCAAGAGAAGGTTCCAAGTACAATATCTTGGTCAACACAGTTGCACCAAATGCCGGTACTGCCATGACTGCTACTATTTTCACTGAGGTGTGTGCATCCGTAGAATGGCCCGAAAGAACTGTAAACTCATTCCCATAATTCACGCAGGAAATGGTCCAATCATTCAAACCCGACTACATAGCACCACTGGTCGCACTGTTGTCTTCTGACAAGGTCCCCGAGCCGGCCACGGGTGGGCTTTATGAGACGGGTTCCGGTTGGTTTGGGAAGACCCGCTGGCAACGTTCTGGTGGATGTGGGTGTGTACCCAACAATTCTAACCTATCCTTCGGATCTCGCGCTAACCTCTATCCCTAAAAGGTTCCCTGTAGATACACCTCTTACACCCGAGGCAGTTCGCAGCTCCTGGAAGGCTATCATTAACTTCGACGACGGCCGTGCGGATCATCCCGAGAGCCCCCAAGATGGCCTCAAAAAGGTCATGCAAAACATGCAAAACCGCAAGCCCGGGCCAAAGAAGCACACCAACCAAGAAGTTCTCGGCAACATTGAGAAGGCCAAGAAGGCCAAGGCCCAAGGTACCCGCTTCGAGTACAATGACAAAGAGGTCATCCTTTACAACCTTGGAATCGGAGCAAAAAAGACGGATTTGAAGTGGGTATTTGAAGGTGATGAGAACTTTGAAGCTCTACCAACGTTTGGTAAGCCACTCCACTCATTTCTCTCAAGATCTTAGCCCTGCTAACCGATTAATCAGGCGTCATCCCAGCCTTTGGCACCGACGTTCCATTCTCTTATGACGAGATTATTCCTAAGTTCAACCCCATGATGCTCCTCCATGGCGAGCAATTCCTCGAAATCAAGAAATACCCAATCCCGACTTCCGGAACTTTGACTTCCTACCCAACCCTCCTCGAAGTTATTGACAAGGGAGCAGCAGCTGTCATCGTTACCAGAACTGAGACTCGAGACTTTGCTGGCGACCTCGTATTCGCCAACGAGTCCACCGTCTTCGTCCGTGGTTCCGGAAACTTTGGCGGCCCAGCCAAGGGCGCAGACCGCGGAGCTGCCACCGCCTCCAACAAGCCCCCAGCGCGGAAACCCGACGCAGTAATCGATGAGAAGACCACCGAAGACCAAGCCGTCCTCTATCGACTCAGCGGAGACCGAAACCCCCTCCATGTCGACCCTGACTTCTCCAAAGTTGGCGGCTTCAAGACCCCCATCCTTCATGGACTCTGCTTCATGGGCATCGCTGGAAAGCACGTTTACCAGACCTTTGGCGCCTTCAAGAACATCAAGGTCCGCTTTGCAGGTGTTGTTCTTCCAGGGCAGACGCTCAGGACGGAGATGTGGAAGGAGGGCAATAAGGTCATTTTCCAGGCTGGTGTTGTTGAGACTGGGAAGCCGGCTATTGCTGCAGCCGCAGCCCAACTTGTAGAGGGTGGGGTGAAGTTGTAATTGGATTGCGTTACGCTGAGTGACTGGCTGTATGATTGATTGTGCTATACCTCTCTTTCCGTTTTCCTGTTTCTCTCTTTCCTCTAGCGATCAGTTTTAAGATTTCATCTACGACTCGAAGTTGGGTTGAATGGAAACAATTGTTGGATCGATCACACTCTGGGGATTACAGAATCCTGGTTCAGATAGCATGATGTCATATGATGTCCAGAGAGCTTTCGAGACGGCAAACTGCGCTTTGATATTTCGTAAAATATATATTATACTACAGGTCTCCATACCCGCGGGAGGAAACCCAGCACCGCCCCCCCCTCCAGAAGTATCACCCGACCGCATGCGCAAACAATGGCAGGAGAGCAAGTGCCCCATCACTGAGGTACATCACCGTATTCCAGGCAAGGAGAGTCCGCCTCTTGCTATAATTACTCTTTACAAAGGCAAACACCGCTATACAAATTGGCATGGTATTTATTCAACCACAACTCCGCACCCACCGCTCGATATGGTATCGCATGTTACCCGCGCACACAGCCCCGAGAGTGCTTATAGAAGGAAAAGGTTCGTTGGCCGAGGCAGCGCGTATATCTGACTATAATAGCAATATCTAACTCGATATTTACCCCGTACCTCGAGTGACTTGCCATGTCCAAAAATCCCACCACCAGAGCCAAGGGGGGTATCCGCTTTGAGCAATCACATGAGTAATATTTCCAACCCCCCATGGGTGCTCCGGGCACAGCAATCCCACTAACAAAAAAGATTAATACCATAACAAAGGCCTCCGAGATAGGATTTCCTGTGAGGAAACAAAATAACGTGAACCAACTTTAGGATAAGCACCCCTCCCCTCTCTCCCCCCCTCCCTCCTCTCCCTCAATCTTCATCAGTCGCATCATTATACCTACGCCTAATAATCACAAAAGGGCAAATATACCGGTTAGCCAAACCATACCTCCAACCCCATTCATATGGATAAACAGAAAAATACAAAAATCTCCAAAACCAAAGCCAGGAAATGGAGAGGAAACCCCCGAAGTGGGAAAAACAGGGAGTTCAGAAGACCTCAGTAAGTGCATACCCAGATCTCTGCGATGAAATAACAGAAAGGCACTGAAACTCCCCCGAAAACGCAGCTTTCCAAAGCCGAATGGTGCCATCGTCACCAGCGCTGGACAGGACCGTTCCCGTAGCATTCCAAGAGACTCTCCAAACGTCGCTATGGTGGTCGTCGAAGTCTGCGATGAGCTCTACTGACCAACCCTCTCCTACGTCGTTGTTGGCATTGTTGGTCTCGTCGCTGCCGCTCGGCGGGAGGATTTCGTCCGCGCCCGTTAGGCCAGCACCGAGGGTGTCCATGCGCTGTTGGCGGCGGAAGTTGGGTGAGTTAGTGGAGTACTTGCTTCTCGGAGGACCGAGGTGGCTGGACACGGCAGTGAGTTTGAATATACGGACGTGACCGTCTTTACACCCCGTTGCTATGAGGTGATAGCTCCTGCCCATTCCTGCGGCCCAGCTTACGTCCCTGACTAGGCCCCTATGTCCCTTCAATTCTTCGACTGGTCGGAGTTTGACAGTGTCACGGCCCACCCGGTATACTTGGACTTTGTTCATTGCGCCGACGACAAGCTGCTCGCCGCTCCAACGAGAGGGGCAGAAGTCGATGCAGAAGGACACTTCGACCTCTTTTGCCGGTGGCGCATTGAGTGTGTCTATGACGTCCACTGCTATCCAGTGCGTTAAGTCTTGGGGTTCTCGACATTCGTAGATGTGGATTATCCCGTCGGTTGATATGAATGCTATCTTCAGTCCCGTCGAGGTGCCGGACGCGGTGCTCGCCGTGGCCGGCGGAAAGGATATGTCGTAGATTGCCGTGCGCTTCTCGGATGTCATTTGGAATTGGCGTTTCCAGCGGAGTGTAGACCCTTTGGGCTCTGTTCAGGTCAGCTCTGCGAAAGACGGTGGTGCATTGAGTGTAATTCACCCATTTCCTGCTCTTCCCATATTCTCACCATTCGGTCGTAAGAACATGTCGCAATTATTTGACCATGCTCGGGGGGTCCCCAGATGACCTATCACACTACTATAAACATTATTACGACCGTTTCCGAGGTCAAAGGATGACCCACCCTTGTAATGCTGGCCTCGTGTGCTCGGATGGACTCGCTGAGAACCCACTCCCCGTCATCGCCTAGATCAAAAACTTTCAATCTTTGATCTGAAGAAACGGTAGCCATTCGTCTCCCGTAATAATCTGCTTCGGCATTAGCACCAATTTCATCACTGGGAAAAGCAGAGAAAAAAAACAACTCAAAACTAACCGTATGCTACATCATGAACCAAATCGTCATGACCAGTTGGGAAGGTAATGTATGATTGTGCAGCGGAATCTGGCATTGAGTTACAGGATTAATGAATGGTGGTTGTTTGGTAGAATTTCGCAATGGAGGGTTAGATGGATGCGAGTTTGTCGACTTTGTCGAGAAATTGATTTGTGGTTGGGGACAAGGATGATTGGCTGTTAACCGATTTTGGATGATTGGCTGGATGGTTCCTTCTGGGTAACTAGGAACTCTTTGTCACTTCTCCAGACTTACCAGTGCGGTCTGGACGTGCTACGTCACGAGAATATCGCCGGAGAGCTTCTGCTAACATTTTATTGAATAAAATTCATGGTTGCCCACGTTTTTGGTATGATACCCACACAGTATACACACCACCACTCGGTATACAAGCTAGGCCTGAGCCAAAAGAGACCTTCTCGAGTGATACCCAATGATCTAGCCACCCGGCTAGCCAATGCTTACCCAATACTCATTTTAAAACACGGAACTGCCAATCCATATTCATACTGGGGAAACGCTGATAGGAAATGCCGTCATCAAGTAGTCACAAGCTCGCTGTGTGTCTAAGACTACAAACATATGTCATCAAAAACAGTAGTTTAGAATAACAAACCCCGAGAATCTGATTAAACGATTCAAAGTCAACGGAAAGCTTGAAGCTTGCTGAAAAGAAGCATGTCTATCAGAATAAGGTATTTGCAAAGAGGCACCAACGGTGAATATGGGAGAACCTTCTCAATGCTCCACTTGTAAAGAAACATAAACCAGATGGAACTGAAGACAACGAATGCTCCCGACAGCCCAAAAGGTAAAAAAAAAAGTAGGAGCCAGCGAAGATTTCCTCCTTGCGGAAAGATACGCCGAGTTTCAATCCTCATAGTACCCCATCCGCCCGAGTCTTTACGGGACAATGCTCTCGATGCCGGCATTCCTCCAGAAAGCCTCTCTCTCCCTCATAGCATCTTCAGCCCATTTCTTAACAAAGTCATTTTTGATGCTTTCTCTGACATGCAAAAACTCCTTGAGATCTTTCTGTGCCTCGTACTTCTTCTCATATTCGATGGTTTGGCAGATAAGCTCAAATCGGTCCACTAGTAGTAACGAATCAGCATCAGCAGCTGCCTTGATGGGCTGCGGTGAAGAAGGTTACCATCTTTTACAAAAACGGCTTCTGGTGTTTTTCCCGTCTCATATTCCAACCACAAATCCATGAAGTCTTTTGCTATCGCCTCCGAGACAGGCTTCAGAAGGGTATTAACTATGTACTGCATAGATTCGAGCTCTCGTCGGTGTTTTTCGACTAGATATAACATCAGTTTTAAAGCCACTAGTAATGAGGAAGGTGCCCCCTACCTTTCTCGATTTTATCCGGCGGTGTAATATCTCCAACCAATGCCTCTGCCATATCGTGAACGATGGCCAGCTTTACGCAGCGGTCTCTGTCAATTTTGAGCTCAGGAGGGCAAAGCATGGCAATAACACTCATTCGGTACATATGATCACTTATCGACTCTACAATTCAACAAGATACGTTAGAAATTTAGTCATCCGCCGAAAAGAGTGGGGTAACCGCAAGGGCTATTATCGAGGCAGAAATAGTGTGAGAAGATAGTTTCTCTTGGTACCTCCTTGAAGAATTCCATGCTTACGCCACCCTTCTCTTGGTGTAGTCTTCAATCTTTCAATGATATGGAGAAATGCTAAAGGTGAGCTGGGCGAAGTGACGGTGGTGGTAGGGATTGATTTCAGGACTACAGTGGGCAGCAGATATTAGCAAATGCCATCCCCAAGGAAAATAGAATGCCTGAAGAGCATTACCTGCATCTAATGACCAGTTCTGAATGAAGTTATTGGAATTCGAACTAACAACTTGAGCTAAAGGAGAATGTTAGCATGTAGCGGTAGAGCGAAGTATGGAGGGTACTCACGCGGGGTTTTAGACATTGTTGCTTGCTTGACGAGAGTGCCGATACGGCGAGTGAAGAATGAAGCCACGAGTGGAGACTTTGAAAGGGATTCTGGGGAAACCAAAAGGGAGCAGCAAACTTAAGTGAAGGGGATATATATAAAGTGTTTTTCTTTTTCGAGGGTAAAGTGATGGGTTGTACGATAGGACACTCGAGTAGGGGGACTCCGGGAATGGAACTGGTTTTTGGTTGACAGTTCATGATTCTTGGGGAGCTCAACGGCGGGCATCTGGGGGGTTTTGGTCAGTGGCCGGGGTTCCACCCTTGGGAAGAAAAAGGCTCGGCGGCAACCACCCTAGTGTTTCCCCTCAGAAACCCCGGAGTTTGTCTTTCTTCAGCCAACAAACCCAAACACCAGGCACAACCCACATATGATACCTCTTCGCCTTCACCCCCTACGTACAGCGATTCCCGTACCCGTTATCATAGCAGCAGCAGCAGCAGGAGCCACAACCATTACCATATCCCACACCCCCTTTCCACGCGCCCCGCCTGACCTCAGCAAACGTGCACTCCCGTCAGATACACACGCACAATAAAAAAAACCCAAAACAAAAAAAGGACTGGGTGTTCAAAACTTCCTTCTCCCTAGCAACCCCATGAAGTCCTCACCCGCCGTCTCCCTACTGCTCACAAACCTACGACTACTAGACTATGATGGGGAAGCTGAAGATTCATTTCCTGTCAGCCCCGATGTTTTTACTTCGTTAAAGAACAAAGGGAAAGCTTTTGAGCACATTGTTTACCACCTCTTTTCTTCCTTTGACCCTGAGGAATGTACAATTGTACGTTGCTTATCAACATTCTTCCCCCGCAACAACCCGGATGACGGAAACTAGCTTTAAGAGGGTTTGGTAACGAGAGACTAATTCCGGAGGGTAAATTAGAGACTTGAGGGTTGTTGGCCGATTTACGAACCCGCGCAATCGAGGGAATTTCGGAATGTGGTGTTTAAATGGCTCACCGACCTCAAGAGGGCTGGTCAGCTAGGGAATATCCTAGTCAGGAAGACTTTGCTGGATGATTGCTCCGGAGAACGTTACGAAGAGTTGTTGCTGGCATTGTCTACAACGGTGCTAAGGGATCGCATTGAAAACGGATTTTTCAAAGATCTCACTCAGGGGACATATGGTGCGTGACCGGATCGACGACCCCTCGAAGACCCAAATTGCTAACACGTGGTGGGCGCGTTACAGCATATAACCAGACCTCCTCACCTGCGCCACGAGACCTGAAAATCTTAATACTCGCTCATCAAGCATCATTGAGCCAACTTCTTCACGCCCGCCGTCTTTCCAAAGCTCAATGGGCATCCTTTTCGGCGTTCCTAGATAGCAAAGAAACAGAAATCTCAGCACTCTCTCAATCTCTTCTACGATCTAGTACGGAGGACACACAGAAGTCACTTCCTCGCGGATACGAAGAAGACGTACTCAGAAAATGGAGAAACAATTGGCTCGGGGATCAACGATGGCTTGATATATTGCTCCAGGGTGACCCTGAGTTCACTCGGGAGCAGTTTTTCGAGCTACCATTTGAGAGGGCACTGACGAAACATCACCATTTCAGGGGTGGACTTGGGGGTGTGAGGAGTGGGGAGATCAGCTTGAAGGCGCTAGAAAAACAGGTCCAAGATCAAAAAAGGAAGCTGGGGGAGCTTCGGCAGCTGCGGCGGGACCACCTAGAAACTATCCCTCATGCTAGTCCACAATCGACTCAAAAAGCTGCTTCGGCTGAGAGTGAGAAAAAGGCTGAGAAGCCGTTGAAGGTTGCATTTGGTCGGCACCAGGTAAGATACACCCCAACAACCGGGCTCCCATCACTAATGGGGCCGTAGCTCCTACATAGTGGTCAGTTAGAGATTACAAGGGATTGCCTCACAGGTGAGAGAAACGAGTGTATATCTGCCCCTTCCTTGTTGCCCCCCAAATATACTAAATAACCCATTAGACACCGAACTGCTGGCATCATTACGCGAAGACCTTGCTACGACCAGCGCCCCCAGAGTACATCGTGAAATTGAGAAACTGCCGGAATACCGCTTAAGGACTCCTGGCAAGCTGGAGCCTATGGAAACCAAAGAGGGTGTTGGTATGGACAAGGAAGCCCAAGGGGAAGAACAAACAAAGCTATCCGATCAGGCAGAGGGGGGAGAACAGTCGCCAGAACTGGAAGATTATAAGTCCGAAGATTTGTCAATCTACTCTGACTACCCTGGGTACGAATACAAGGACACCTCATCACCTGTACAAGAGCACACCCCACCTCGGAAACCGCCAATGAAAGTTTCCCAACGAATTCGTGAATACGAGCCGCACCAAACAAACTCTACTGACGCTTCAGATGAAGATGAGCATCTCAGCAGTTTAGAAGCCTCGGCTGTGTCATTAACCCCACGTGTGCCCCACCAACACGACTCCATGTCTGTATCCCCAGAGCCAAGTATGCCTAAAAGATCCATTGGTCGGTTTTCCCTTGGATTTGGGGATGACGAGCTTCTGGCTGAGCAGGTTTGTTTACTCCGCATGATCGCGGGTACAAGGAATCGGCACCAAGGCTAACCCGACGAATCATAGATTGTATCAACGGTGGCAGGGGCTATCTATTCACCAGAAAAGCCATCACCGGCTAAACGCGACCAGCATCACGATTCTTATAAACTACCTCGGATGGGCTCGCCGGCCTCTTCGCTAGATGAATCATTTGATGTAGATGAGAGCGAAATGCTAGATATTGCCCAGTCGCCAGGGGGCAACCATTTCTCCAACAGACCCCCGTCCCTTAGCCCGCCGGATAATCGCAATCTGTCCACGCCAATGCAGAGCCCCTCGGCCACGACGCCAAAAGAGGACCTGTTGATGTCGGAGGATTATAATTCAGTATTCAAGTCACGGCCCAAGATTGCGCTGTCGCCAACGTTCACTCCGTCCGCTGGGACACCCGAGCGACCACCGGGCCTGTCTTTGATGTCTGGGGTAGAGGGCACACCCTCGGCGGGATACTCGGAGGACGAAAGTGAAGACGACAATTACCTTATATCATCACCGTTGGGGCTGAGGAGTGAGAGGAGGAGGAGGAGGAGGATGTAATGAATTGCCGGCATCGTGGTAACATAGTATTTGTATTAGTGTGACAGTAGTCGTGGTTTGGTTTCATTCCTTGATTCATTTCTATGTACAAAGAGGTCCTTGTCTGGTCCCCGTCCGCCCGCCGTGCCTGTCTGTCCTTAGTCTCGGAGAATTCCGACGTGTATGCAGTAGCCAGAGGAGGAGTTTATCTCGGGCGTGAGCAGCGAGTCGGGAACGCGATACGCGTGAAAGGATCTGTGGAACCTCTCGAGCCAAGCTTCGAATACCTCTGGGGATCGGAGCTCCTGGGAAACTATTGCCAAGGTTGGCTTTATCTCCTCCTCCCCCGCTTCCTCCGAAAGTCTGCTACCACCATGTCTTCCCCCAGAGGCGGCCGAAAGTTCCCTACAGGCCTCCTCCAACGCCTCGACAAACCCCTCCACCAACGCCTCATTATATATACAGTCGCAAGCAATCACCGCATCAAACGGCACCCCTTCCTTAAGCACCGGGTGCTCCCGGGTGATCCGATCCTTTTCCCAATCCATGGCGAGAGTCCTAACCATGGTACCCCCCTTCACCCTCGCACCTCCCTTGCGCGGGGCAACGGGAGGCGGCGTGTTCTCCTCCAAATTTCTCCTCAACAGCTTCAACACATACTCCTGATCGCTGAGAAAGTACCCCCGAACCTTCCCACTACCCCCAAGCGTCAACCCAAGCACGCCCGCAACGCCGCAGCCAAGTTCCAAGATGGTAGACCTCGAGCTCAAAACCCCATGACTAAAGAATGGGTTTTCAGGATGCGAAAGGTAGGCTGCGAAGAGGGGCGTTACTTTCCAGAGGACTTTTTTTTTGTGCTAGTTAGAAAGTAGATTGCAATGGGATAATGCATTGTGGGTGTGTGTGGTTGGGGGGGGGGGGTAGGTAATACGATACCGGCACCGGTCGTCCCGCCATCACGGGAGGATGAGAGCACGCTAGGTGACTGCAGGATCGTCAGGTCCTGTGAACCGATGGTGATCTCAACGGAGGGGGATTTGGGATTCAGGAAGCCGAGGTCCTTGGATGGGGGTTTGGTAGCGAAGAGGGTTACGGATTCTGGAAGGGTGGGGAATGGGGGTGGGCCGCCGGGCGGGGGAGCGGGTTCTATTAGTTAGTCTGTCTGTTCATTTTTGTGTCCTAGCCCGTACGGAGGCGGGGGTTGCAAGTTTCATTTGGGGGGGGGATTATAATTGGGTTGGTGGGCGGGCGGGTATATGGGTGAGCGAACCTTCGTATGTGTCGTTGATCTCGTAGAGGAGGGGGAGGAAGGTGCTCAGAGGCATATTTCCAACGGTAGAGTATTTTTGGCCGTGATTGGGAGGTAACTTACTGTAATCCCCAAGGACGGGCGCTCGAGATGGGTACGATAGGCACTTGTCCAGCACTGTCAGTATAGCTTTTTCTTCTTTCTTTTTCGATGAAGGTCCGTGAAGCCAGCCGAATAGAGAGGTATTGTACCGTAAGAGTGGAGAAAGCTGTGGATACGGTAGGGAAGAAGAGAGAGAAAGCACGGCACGACGTTTCCTTTTTTCCTTTTTCCTTTTTTCCTTTTTTTTATTTCCCTCCCCCGAGACAGGTGGTATCGTGCAATGAGGATGCTCGCCCGCAGCCCGCGAGCATGCAGGCGTCGACACACACAAAGGACAACAAAGGCACGGACGGGGCAGCGCAGCACAAGTCTTCAACGGGGTACGGTAGGTTACGCGTATGATATACCGTAGTCCGCCTAGCAAAACAAGCGAAAGGACGAATCCGTCAAGGCACGGTAGGGTAAGCTACCAATCCCCCCCCCCGGGTTCGTCCCACTTCATTCATCCACCAGTCTTTCGTCGTGTTCCCCCGCGGTGAAGACCAAACCGGCAATCCAACCACAAAGCATAAAAAATACTTGGACTGTGCCATATCAGTGCTGTGCTTAATTTACTTAGGACTGTACGGTACTCGGCGTTTTTTAAAGTCTCCGGAGTGAGAAATGAAACAAGTGGTTCACTTACTCGAGTACCGTACGCTGTGAATGATGATGGCTTCACCACTCCACCGAACTTTGCAGTAACTTTGGCAACAAGTCCGTAACTCACGTTCGGGAGACTTTTAAAGAACGCCGAGTGCCGTACGGGTTTGATGTTGTTGCGCCGTGAAAACTCTTGAAATCCATCGTGACATCACATTATCCGCAGAAATCAGGTTCAGTTTGGATGGTTTACAGAGTTTCGAATGCAGACATGTCCACCGGTCTGGGCTCACAGTATAGCGGTACGGGAGAGCTCTGATCCCTCTTTCCCTGGAGTCTTCAACAACCCGAATCCGGAGATTACGGGGCTGGCAGGCTGGCGGGGGTGGTGGATTTTGACGGGTTTTTTTTTTCTTACATAATGCCATAGTCGCCATTGATTCAGTACGGTACGGTAGTATACCAGCACGAGCAGAGAGAGAGACGGTGCGGTCTACCGATATTGGGGGTAATTCCGCTATCGTAGTGTGTCGTACCGGGCATCTTCAGTAAAAAAAAATCGGAGGAGGCATCATACCGGTACAGTACCGTACTCGACGATTAGCGTGGCACCAAAAGTCACTCATGAGCATGTTGGCTTTTCACACCGAAAATAAGCAGCTTTTACATCCGGAAATCTCACCTTGATTGCCCTGATAAAAATTAAAAAGAAATTAGAATTCGATAAATTTCTTGGAATCATTGGAACTTGTTCTGCTCTATCAATAGACTCTAGAGGAGAAATATCTGCAGCATTGAGGATAGACAAAAGACCTACCAGTGAAAAAGGTACATTTCAACACACCGTGAACGAATCTCTAGCTGTCAACGCTCACACACAAGGGTGACAAAAATCACACAATTGTTGCTGAGATAGACTAAGCAATTGGAAAAGCACATGATGCTGTCTTGATTTTGGGTGAAATACTAGTCCTTGAAGTCATGAAATTTTAGTGCAAAACGGCAACCTACTCATGACTTTTGGTGCGAGGATCGTACGTACTGTACCATAACGTACTGCATTAGTGCCCAAGCACAGGACAGCTGTATCTTTCAACAGTGCCATGAAATCGATCTTCAAGCTTCCAGCCAAGATGTATGTACCTACCGGGCCACAATAAGCGTGATACCAGCTCGAGAAAAACAGACCTCACGAGTAAAAGACCATTCCCTTTTCGTGAAGGGAGTATGATAGCGTACGCCATGTATGATACAAGTGCTGGTTGCATGACGCCCAGAACTTTACCGCACCACCGGCACGGTATGATCTGATACGGTCATTTCCCGCCCTCCGATTTTGAACACGGCCGCAGCATAATAACATAGATTCGATCCCATAAAAAATTTTCTTTCTCAATCAGTCGGTCGGATGCCTATGATACGATATATACCGTACCGTGCCATACCGGCCTGCTGTGCCACGGCCAAGAGAATATTGGCATTATTTTATCCATCCAGAGCAGTGGTCGGCGTTTTTTAAAGTCTCCGAAAAGGGAGTTACGGGCCCGTTGCCCATGTTACCGTGAGCTCCTGCAAATTTCGGCGGGGTGAAGCCATCAATCACAACCTAAGCGAACCGCTTATTCATTTCTCATTCCGGAGACTTTAGAAAAATTGGAGTACTAGAGTACTCGAGTACAGTTTGGGTAGACATGGCGGTTGTGCAACTTGCCTTTTGTCAACGGAACCCCAACTGTTCGGAGGTTATTGAGGGGGCTGCGATTGTGATGGCGATTTATTTTATTTTTTGGCTTGGCTTGGCTTGGCTCGCGCATACCAAGCCTACGAAAGTGGCTCAGGGGGGAAATTCCAGTGTGATTGGGGGCTTCATTCCCCGTGGTCTGCAGTCTGTTGTTATCGGCCCAGCTGGTACGTGTGCGGTGCTCGAGTCAAGAGGCTGGCGGTGGCGAGGATAGTGGTGGTGGTGGGTGGAGGATTTATTGAGAATGAGAGATTGGGGGACAGAGTTGATGAGTGTACCTAGGGTACGGCAGTGAGGATCGAGAGGCGATATACGGTACCGGTACGGGTACTGTATTGGGTTTCTGAGAGATTACCGTACTGTACCTATTCTGTGTTTACAGCGGGATTGTAGTGAATGCGGTATCATAAGTATGATAAAGTTGCTATCGGTGGGGGGAGGGGGGGGTTCCTCACGGTAACCTCACAAGGACGGTGCTGGTGGTAATATCCGGTGATGGGGGTTTGCGGACAAACAGCCTTGGTTCTCGGGTCGATCAGAGGGTTTCCCACTCTTTGCATGCTCCATATGATTCATACCGTATCCTCCCGAACCAGGTTGGCGTCTTGGAGAGTGATGGAGGCTTGGCGACGCTCGCTGTGACAACCAATAGCGTTGCGTGCCCGTCAGTACGAGTGCCGTAGGAAGGGAAGGAATAAATTAAACTAAAGGGTAAGGTGCTGTTGACAGTTGACCTTTCTTCAACGCGCCGTTTCACACGCCGTAAGGTATCATCATAGTCAGCCAATCTACGAGTACGAGTACCGTACCCTATCCACCAACCAGCCCGCTCTGAGCCTCTCTCTCTCTCCATCTCGTAGTTATATTGCCGCGTGTCTCCCTCTTCGTCCCCATCCCCCATCCCTCGCCCTCCTTCCTTTCCTTCCTCTCTCGCTCCCCCTGCCCATCCTACAAGTAAGTGCATCGAGAGAGAGAGAGGTTTGCTCACCCTTCTATTTCCCCTGCTGTAATCTTCCCCCTTGTCACCACCGGTAGCAGCTCGAGCTCCCAGACCTTCCCTCCTCCACACTCCGGTACATACCTCCCAGGCTTTTGAAGTTTCCCCGGGTTTGCTACTATCCTCTCCTCTATCTTTCGTCCCTCCTCCGATTCATTCTTCGCTCTCGTCTCGTCCCGTAGCTCTTCATCACCGTCATGGCTGCTCAAAAGAAACCCATCCCAACTCCGGCTCTTCACAAAAGGGGACCCTTCAATGTTCAGGTCCCCGGCGCCGAGAAGAAGGAGGGCGAGGGAATTCCTCGTCGCCATCCTAGCGCCGTTACCGGACTGGTATCGCGCCTGGAACCCGATATTGCGACTACTTACGACATTGTCAAGCGTGGTGCGGCAAAATTCGGTGATGCTCAGGCTCTCGGATCCCGTAGCCTTGTTCAGATTCACGAGGAGACAAAGATGATCAAGAGGATGGTTGATGGTGTCGAGCAGGAGGTTCCGAAGAAATGGGCATACTATGAAATGAGCGGATACACGTACTTGTCGTTCAATGAATACCTTGCTCGCGTCAACACCACCGGAGCCGCCTTGAAGGCGTTGGGATTGAAGAAGGGCGAGAAACTGCAAATTTTCGCTGCTACTAGGTTTGATTGGCTCCCCGACTGGATTTATTTTTCTACCTTGTCTGCGAGCGAACGTGTTGCTGACTTGGTTGTGGGTTAGTGCGAGCTGGCTCTTGATGTCGCATGGTACACCTCGATTTGACCTGCATCCCCGACTGGAATAGACTGCTGACAACGGATAGCCTGTGCCTCCCAATCGCTGCCAATTGTCACCGCTTACGACACTCTTGGCCAATCTGGCCTCACCCATTCGCTCGTGCAGACCGAAGCATCCGCCGTTTTCCTCGACTCCCACCTTCTCCCCCAACTCATTAGTCCCCTGAAGGAAGCGGTCGGCGTTAGATATGTCATCTATAATACCGATACCCCGGTCAAGCAGGAGGATATCGACGCCTTGAAGGCTGCGCATGAGCGATTGCATATTCTAAGCATCCAAGAACTTATCAAGCTTGGGGAGGAGAATCCTTGTGACCCTGATCCTGCTGGTCCTGAGGACCTCTGTGGTATCATGTATACTTCTGGGTCAACTGGCACCCCCAAGGGTGTCCCTCTTCTCCACAAGAATGTGGTTGCGGCGGGTAATTTTCGCCTACCTTCGTGGTTAGTTTCGAAACGTGGCTAACAACTTGCGACTCTTAGTGTCTGGTGTCAGCGTCATTATTGGCCCTTATATTGGTCCGGGGGATTTCTTGCTTACCTTTTTGCCCCTAGCGCATATTCTTGAGTATGTGTTTGAAAATGCATGTCTATTCTGGGGCGGAACTATGGGCTATGGAAATCCCAAGACTTTGTCCGAGAAATCCATGCGCAACTGCAAGGGTGACATCGCCGAATTCAGGCCCACTATCCTTGTCGGTGTCCCTGCTGTGTGGGAAACAGTGAAGAAGGGTGTCATGGACAAGGTTTCCAACCTTCCCCCATTGACCCAAAAGCTTTTCTGGGGCGCCATGTCGCTCAAAGGCATGCTCCTTCGTTCAGGCCTTCCTGGATCTGGTATCGTGGATATTATCTTCAAGAAGGTTAGGGCTGCGACTGGCGGAAGGCTGAAGGTTTGCATGAGCGGAGGGGGGCCTATCGCCAAGGAAACCCAGCATTTTGTTAGTATGACCATTTGCCCAATGGTTATCGGCTACGGTTTGACTGAGACTTCTGCGTAAGTATCTACTATTTGCGATATTTTAGTGATCAAGAGCTGACGGTTTTGTAGCATCGGATGTCTTATGGACCCGAGTGAATGGAACATTAACAGTCTGGGGACCATCCCTGCTTGTGCTGAGATTAAGCTCGTCGACTACCCTGAGGCTGGTTACTTCACTCATAATGACCCCGAGCAGGGTGAAGTCTGGATTCGTGGCGATTCGGTCGCTTCGTCTTACTTTATGAACGACGCGGAGACCGTGGCAGCCTTCGAAGATGGATGGTTCAAGACCGGGGATATCGGTGAATGGGATTCGAATGGTCACTTGAAACTTATTGACCGCAAGAAGAACCTGATCAAGACTCTGAACGGAGAATACATTGCTCTTGAGAAGCTCGAATCGGTCTATCGTGCATCAAGCGTTGTTGGCAACATCTGTGTCTATGCCGATGAACAAAAGACCAAGCCTGTCGCCATTATTTTCCCTGTCGAGGCGGCTTTGAAGAAGCTTGCTGCTGAGAACAGTATCGAGGGGGAATTTGAGCAGCTTGTCCATGACGCCAAGTTGAACCAGATTGTCATGAGGGAGCTTATCGCCGCCGGGAAAAGGGGTGGGCTTGCTGGCATCGAGCTGATTGAAGGCTGTGTCTTGACCGATGAAGAATGGACCCCCCAGAATGTGAGTTTCCCCGAATGCTCGTGTTTATGAGGATGACGGCTAATAATTTCCGAATAGAATCTGGTGACTAGTGCTCAGAAGCTAAATAGAAAGGGGATTCTTCAGAGGTATCAATCGGAGGTTGACAGGGCCTATGGAGGCTCATAGATGGGTTGTTTGCAGGGAACGGGGTGTGCAAGTGAAACTATGGTTAATGCTTTGTCTGGTCATTTTTTATTGTTATTATTTGGATGGTTGGCTTGGAGCTTGATTCATCATCTCCATTATGGCCATTTTCTCTGGTGCTATCTCTTTTTGGTTGGCCCCTTGTGGGCGGGTGTGATGATGCCTTTGAGTAATGATGTTGCGAATGTGTGGGAATGGCGTCAAGTTTTCCGGATTGCTGGTTGGCTGGGTGGTAGGACAGGACAGGACGAGGTGAGTGTGCTGGTGTGTTGATGGGGTTTTACTTACTTTCCAAGAGTTCGTTTTTGGTTCGGCCCTCACTGCCGTACTTTTTTATTTATTTATTTTTATTCCCCATTTTCTCATTTTTTTATATATATTATATTTCGAGTAATTGGCATACCTTTGTCTATTCCAGCAGTTTCCCCCGTACGAGGGCATTGTGGTGAGTGTCGGGGGGGGGTTGATGCTTTCCGGGGAAAAGGGGAGTACCCGGTATCACAGGAGCCCGACAATTCCGGGTTGTCGTCACTGGGCATCACTCGGCCGCAGATTGTCTTGAGTAGGGAGAAGTTGGGCGAGTGGGACGTGTGGATATGGGGTAGATGGCTGGGTGGAGTGGAACTTGTGAGTGGCGTACACTGCGGTTGACGTCGGGTTCCGTGGCCGGCATCGCGCTGCGCAGAAGGATGCGCTCTGTACAGCTTATCAAACGTAACACGGCGGGCCGTGCACGTTATACCGCCATATTTCACCCGCCGAAACTGCTACCGCCCGCTGAGTTTGTATGGCACTGGATTTATAAAGCAGTTGTACGCTAGCGGGTGGGTTCGCGAGTGTGGATTCATGTTGGCTGACTAGCTAGTTGGTCAGTTTGGTTGCGCTCTGCGTTTCATCCCTTCTGCTCTCCGCTACTAAAATTTAGTTGAGGTTCTGTAGCTCCCGTGTTTGCGGTGTCTGTTTTGCTGGGTGGCTGGGGAGGTTGAGATACTGATAGCGTGGTTTGTTTGTTTGCTCCTACCCTGTACGATAAGTGTGTTGTGTTTGTTATCATGTTGTTGTCATTGAGATTTGAATCCGGTTAGAAGAGGGGGGTGATGCTGGTGTAATATCATACTGTAAAATCCGACCTGGTGGGCGCGGTCCCCGGGTATTTGGGTTTTGGGGTGCGATACCGGTCGTGTGGTCACTCTGTCGGACGGGTCAGTGCTAGTACGAGTGCTTGCTTGCGCAGGCCATTTTTCCTGCGGAGCATCAGTGTTATTGGGAGACCGTGAGCTACCGTAGTTTCCAATATCCGGAGGTTCGAGTCCCGCTATTACACTGCCGCTCCACGCCATGTCCTGATCGCGTACTGGGTTGTATTCCGTGGACGTGCTATCCGAAGGTATGGGAGAGGGATTGAGGAATTGTGATACGACTTGTGGACGATGGAAAGCAGAAACTTGATGATGGTGGTGGTGGTGGTGCGTACTGGGAGGGTATTATATATAGACACCTTGGAGTTTGTCCTTCCTTCCTACGACGTAGACTACAGTATCATACCGAAGGGTTCTCTTGCTAAAGGCGTAGTAGGCGTAGGTGGAGTGGAGATGTATGCAGTACGGCACCGGTACTACTACCGCCGACATACCGTAGTGGGTATCGCTTGGTTGGTCGTTGGACGCATCAGTGTTTTTGGAGTTGCGGAAGGCGTACAGTAGACTTATGTGCGAGTACAGTATTATACGATGCTAAGAAAAGCGCACCTCGAGCCGAGTGTATACGTCTTTGGTGGCGGATTTTTTTTTCTTCTTCTCTTCTTCCTCTTACTCGTATGATATGTTGGTGGAGAATCGGGGGGTGAGGCCTACGGTATGATACCCTTCCGACAGGTACAGTACTCGAGTACAATTTGCGGTAGGCACAGGCTGATGATAGGTAACCACTGGCACCGTACAGTGCAACCGTACTACGGTGGGTACTGTACGGTACGGTAGGCAATTCGCGCCTGCGTTGTTACCAGTACAGTACGGGTGCAGTGCTGGGACTCAACAGCGAAGCACTGCACCGCACCGTAGGCATCCCTTCTGGTACTCGTACAGTACTGCGCGGATCGCCAAGCCTACTACCGGTACTGCTCCACCATTCAGCGAGATGGTCCGCTCGCTTTGTGTCAGTCGGTCGGTCGGTGAAAAAGGGTTTTATGGGTGGTCGCTCTTGCGGATGATGTCACTTGCCGTCCCAGCTTGCCTGCCATCCTGCGTGCCTGTGCCATGTCGCCTGTCCGTGGGTGTCTGTCTTGTGCGGTTGCCCTCGCAGCCTCGGGATGGGAAGGCGTTTACTGTACTGTACTCGAGTACTGTACTCGTGCTGAACTCGTGCGGATGAGATTGGGTGGCCGATTTGGATCTGATCTGGGCTTGCTGTGGTGGTATTCTCTACTCACGGTATCATAATATTATTAGGTTATATCATACTCGTTCTCACCCCGTGGACCGGGCGTGGTGGTGGTAACGGCCAATACCAACCATCTTCTACGAGTAATCCCGCACCCAAGCCGAACCCACCTGACGCCAGAGCCGAAACGACAGGCATTGGCTTCCACCCATCCACCACCCCATTCATCCTTTCAACCTCTCCGCCTGTGTGATAGATAGACTAGACTACCGGTAGCGGACATGACCTCGTGCACTTGCAAGTAAGGGTTCAATTCAAGTGCCAAGACTAAACCCTAACTCCTTCAACCGCAAACCACCCTCTTTCTCTCATCGTCGACCCTTCCTTCCTTTCTTTCTTTCTTCCTTCCTTCGGTGGGCGGTCTCCTCTTATTTTGACCTGCTGACCGTTCCTTTACCCTGCCTTCTTACGGTGCCATACCGGTACTCGCCAGCTCGCCATCACCACGACCACCTCCTTGCTTTGTTTTCGTTCCTCGTCACCCCCGCTCATTCTTCACCGTTTGATAGCGTATCCTCTGTGAGGGTAGTATTTTTATTTTTATCACCATCTTTTCTGCTTTCCCTCTCTCTCTCGCTCCGTTGCTGCAACTTTTTACGAGTGGAGGAGAGAAGAGAGAAAGGGGAAAAAAGGAATATAATAAAAAAGCTTTACGAACCCACAAACCACAGGGATTCGGGTTCCGATAAGGCAGTCGGTGTCATGAGCCTTGAAGCGAAGGTTGTTGTTTTGGGAACTCAAGGTTGGTTTGGCTCGTCTTTGTGGTCCCTGGGTGGGATTACCGGTAGCTGATTCCGGCGGGTGTTTTTTTTTTTTTCGGAGGGCGGTAGGTGTCGGGAAGACTTCTTTGGTGGTTAGATACGTCAAGAATACCTTCGATCCGGCTTCGGAATCGACGATTGGCGCTTCGTTCTTGGCAAAGAGGGTGGTTGTTGATGATTGTCTTGTGAGGCTTCAGGTATGACCTTGATTGATAATCCGGTTATCCATGGTTATCGCTGCTGATGTTGGTTATCCCTGTAGATTTGGGTGATAACCCCCCTGCACAGCGCTTGTGATGATATATATGCCGGTGGTTGTGGGGTCATGATTCTGACGGGTATCGGATCACCTTTTTGCAGGACACCGCGGGCCAGGAACGCTACCGCTCGATTTCGAAACTCTACTATCGTTCCGCTAATTGTGGGATTCTTTGCTACGACATTACTTCGGAAGCCTCGTTTCTGGCGATGCATTCATGGTAAATAGAACCTCTTTCCCCCTTCTTGCGCTTGCGCTCAACTTGCCCATCTTTTCTCCCCTGATATTATTATCTTCCACATGCACACATACATCGGTTTCTTCGTCTTTTTCTTTTTTTTTTTTTTCCCATGCCAACTTAAAAACCAATACCCCGTCAATGCTACTTCTAAAGGCTTGTCGAACTCAAGAAGAATGTAAACAACCAAAACATAATCATCCACATCGTTGGTACGAAAGCGGATCTCGTCAATGCGGACCCCTCGAAGCGTGAGGTTTCATTCGATAGGTGCGTTGCCTACGCCGCCGAGCATCTGGGTGATGGTGAGGATGCGTCGTGGCTGGGAATGGATACCTGCCATGAGATTTCTGCGAGGGATGATCAAGGTGAGTTTTTGCCCCCGTCCATGCTGCATTAAACGGTGCCCTTGCCCGCTTTTCCCCGCACGGACTGGTAATAGACGTCTGTCTGGTGGTCGCAGGAATCGATGAGGTGTTTCAGGTAATTGCGCGCAAGCTCGTTGAGCGCCGTGCGGAGATTGATCATGAGAGAATATATGGACCCGGGTATTCCGGTGAATTTGGAAGAGGAAGGGGTGGGGTGGATGCCGCAGGTGAACGTGGCGGGGTGAAGAAGAAGAAGGGTGGCATATGTTGTTAGGGAATCGGACAGAGGCTCTTGGATGGAGTTCCCTCTCGCTCGCTATACTGAGTTATCTCGATAGTTGATTTTTTGCTTCTCCTTTTCTTTTTTTTCCCTTTGCCATCACTTGGGAACCTTTTTTTTTTCTTTTTTTCTTCCCTTTTTCACTATGTTTGCCCGTCCTGTCAGCTATTCTGTCTCTGTGCATGTCTTTCACACTCACTGGTGGCTTGATGCATTTCTTTCTTTCCTCCCTTTATGACCCTTTGTGGGGGAGGAAGGGAGGGAAATTGCGGTTAGAGGAAGGGGATTTCCGGAACCTTGGGGGCGTCACGATGATATCTATCCATTTGCATTGTGATCAGACATATCGTATAGTACAGCGCAGTAGAACACAGTCACTTGTGGCTTTTTTTATTTTTTTATTTTTTTACCCTCGCTTCTCTGCGAATTTTTTACGGATCTTTTTTTTTTTTTTTCCGAACACTCGTTCCATCTGGGACCAACTCTTGAAAGGGCAATCTTCATATTTTAACTATTTCCCTTGCCTCCGCCGACTCCCGGGACCTGGGGGCGTGCATACTTTGACTACGCTTGGGCCTATCCATCCATCCATCCGTCCTTCCTCAAGCTTTACTGGCCTGACAGCCCGTGATACAAATACAGCACAATGCGATGCTCGAGTGATTCTTTGTGATCGTTGTTTGATTGGTTGGTCAGTTAGCTAGTCAGGGATAGGACCCCACATTTTCTTTCATCATCATTCATAAGCGCGAATCCCTGCGGGTTCAAACCCTCTCCGCTATTCTTTCCTGTCTCTGCTCTGTCCACCCATGGCCGGGTGTCGTGATCTACAGGTATTGTTCTGGAAGACTAGCCGTAGGACCAGTTTAGGGTGAAACGTTTTTCGTAACGCCTGGATTTAAGTTTAGTGTAACCTATTTTTAAGAACAAAACCCGATTTAAAAGGGGTTAGTTCATAATAATGGTATTTTTAATAATCATTAATACAGGTTACAAAGCTTAACCAAAAGCATTTACGGAAAACGTTGCGTTCAAAACTGTCACAGTTTTCGTTGGAAAAGTGGTCCTATGTACGTCTAGTCTTCCGGAACCATACAATATCATAGCATACCTTGCCGTGCGGCACGCTGTGGCACTGCCAACTCTCCTGGTTGGCGGTCCACCATGGTGCAGTTCTGTTAGAAAAGTTCGGGTGCAACTGTATACATAGCTAATCCCTATGCAACTACGGAGGTATAGTCCCTAAGGGGGTGTTTGGCCCGCCAAATCTGATTTGAAATCGTGATTTGAGATCAGATCTTGGCAACTTTAACTT